TTAAGTTTTTAAATCTAAGAAAAAAATAATAAATATTCAACTTTCAACATTTATCAAAAGCAGTAAATAAAATGGGGGAAAAAGACAATTTGGCATGTCCCTAATGTGTCTTCGAAGTGTTCCCTGAAAATAAATTAATTAAATAAGGATACACGCCATGTAGTGTGTCCCACAGGTGTCCGACACGGATACAACACTTGTTTTGAAGTGTCGGTGCTTCATAGATTGGAATTCTTGTTCGTTCAAGAAGTCTTCCGTGTGATGCCAGAGTCTTTACTTACCAGAACCATCCATTTCTGGGATTAAGATATGGATTCACAACATAAACCTTAGCAAAAGTGCTAGTCATTTTTTTTAATGATAGTTGGAAGTTAGACTTGGACTTCACATACATGTGTGGTTATACTTACGAAATCAGATTTTCTTTGTCAATCTATGGTCCGTTGCAAATATACAATAGTAGAATATGTCAAGTGTATATTTTATATATTGTATTATACATGATAATCGAAAACTTTTTGATAAATTCTTCAAGAATTCTTAGGTGCCTTTTGGCAAGATTTACAGTTAATTGTTTTAGTTTATAGAATACACTAAACATGTTTATGTTTGTTTTGGATAAAAATAGAAACAAAAAACATATTTGGTACGCAAGTATTTTAAAATTTTGTTTTGAAAACAAGTGAAAGATGTGTTCGTTGACGGTTGGAGATGGTGGCCGAAGGTCGTTGCCGGCCGCGTAAGGTGGTGGCCGAAGGTGGTTGCCACCAGTGGGAGGTGGTTGGCAGTGGCCAGAGGTGGTTGTGGGCCATTGGAAGTGGTGGCCGAAAGTGATTGCCAATGGTCGAAGATGGTGGCCGGTGGTCAACTGCCTAAGGTGGTTTACAACAAGAGGCAGTGGCCGAAGGTGGTTGATAGAGGAGGACATCGATGATGGTAGCTGGTAGTGATAAGCAATGGGTGGTGGTCGGAATGGGTGGGAGAAAGAGGAAGAAATGGGGGAGAAGAAAAGAAAAGTAAAACTAAACTTTTTCGTATTTACAAATTTTTTTACAATTCTTTGGAAATGGAAACAAAAACCAAATGAGTGTCTGTTTACAGTTTTCAAAATTTTTGTAAATATAAACAGAAAATTGTAAATAAAGCGTTACGAAAGAGGCACTTAGTGTTTTGCTCAAAATTAGTAGTCTCTGAGCAATGGTCAGTTTTGGTTAAGGGTTTTGTCAAGTTTGACTAGGCTTTGTTTGAGGTTTAAGGCTCAATCACGCTTGAGTGTAAGTTCAATAGGTTTGACTAGAAATTTGATTATATGGGTTTCTGCCTTAGCTTTGATTTAGAAAGAGACGGAATTGCCTAAGACATGAAAGGTTGTGATGCAGCACCGATACAGGAGATGGAGAAAAAGAAAAGAACACAATACCAATCAATATATCAGTTAATCAATATTCATGTAAACTCTGCAAAACTCTTACATAAAAGTCATATGTATAGGTAAATCAAACTAATCTTATGAGGAAACAAATACAAACTAAGAAATAAATCCTAAACTTTCAAAAGAAAAAAAGAAAAAAAAAAAAACTCCCAATTAGTACACATTAATGTGTGTTTGGGTGGAGAAAGATTGAGTACACACCTAACCTTTGGCATAATGCGCAAAGTTTCAACTTCCTAAATAAATTAAACTCCTAAATAAATAAAATTCCAAATCTTCAATATTTTCTTATTCAATTTGTTTGCTTTCCCCATCAGGTGGTTGGTCGATCAACCTTTATATACGCTTAAAATTTCTTATTTTCGCAAAATAAACCTACTATTTTGTGTTCTATTTAAAACAATACATTTTATTTCTTCTATTGGCCCCTTTCTAGTAATTTAACAAATGCATCCATCATATTCGAGATTCTGAATGTATCCTATTTCTATCTAGTCCTGAAAAACTAATTCAATAATTTTCTAATACATATAACACATCCAATGCATATTGGATTGTGTCTGACATGTATTGGTTTCTGATACATATCCAATTCAAACATGGCATCAGTGGTTCATAACTCTCAATCTTTGACTCAGGCATAGGTTATTACACCTCACAAGATCAATTCAATCCTCTGATGATTAATATTATTCGTGTCACTGTGCGGTGTATATATTAAAATAAAAGAAGGTTTTTGGCTGTTGTAAAATCAAGTACTGGCCAAATTCTCCTTTTTATGTACTAATGATCAACTGTAAGTGGATTTCAGCTAGTAATAATGGATTTTAACCCCCCCAAAAGAGAAGATATGTTAAATTGACTTCTTTGGGGAAAAATACTTGTTCTTACACTTGCATGCTCCACATTGATAAGAACACATCATGTTCTTCTCAGGGTCCGTTGGCATTAAGGATGGCAAAGCGAGCTATTAATGAGGGGCTCGAGGTAGATATGGCATCAGCTTTGGCATTGGAAGAAGAGTGCTACGAACAGCTTTTGAACACAAAAGATCGCTTAGAAGGCTTGGAAGCATTTGCTGAGAAGCGAACTCCTAAATATACAGGTGAATGAAAAAGAACATAACCTAATAACTTGCTTCTAGTGCTTTTGGTCCCTTGTGCCTAATATTATCTATTATCATTTATCATTTGAACTTGAGAGGACCCAAATGCTGGCAGGCTCTAATTTATAAGTTAACGAGTTAACAATTTTTGTATCTTTCAATCATGTGGTGAGGATATTTGGGATTTTGGGCATGGACCATGATGTATCATTTGAGAAAGGCTACTTTATATTAGTAAAAGAGCTTCTTTATAGACCTTTCACATTAATGGAGGATTCATTTAGGGGATATATAAATATTGCTAACCAACTCATACTAGATTGTTAGTTTTTAAAGGTTACTTGCATTTTAGCTCTACTGTTTGGAACTGAAATAGAATAAAACAATCTGTATTGTCTGATATTATAGTATTAAGAAAAATAAGATAGCTGCAGCCATATACATACTATTTTATTAAGGATTAGTACAGCCTAATCGTTGTTGCGATTTGGTTCTCTCTCTCTCTCTCTCTCCAATTCTGTGCTACTAATAAATGTTTGGTGTTTTTAATTTTTTGAGTTGTATTTTATATCTAATGCCCCAATTTTATTACCACATGTATTTCATTACCTTGTTATCTCATACACTTCGAGCTTCACACAATTAGCAATTTTACCCCTAAATAACATATCATTTTAATTGATGAATGTTCTTAATATATTTTAGTAGTTCTTATTTTGTTTATATGTAATTCAAGTGGTTGCTTCATCTCTTTTTACTTGCTGAAATTGTGGAGCCGGTTGGGGGGGGAGTTGAATTGGACAAACCCTTAAAAACTTTTATCAACTTAAATTACCAATGTTGTTTATTTAGCCAATGTCAATACTTGATTCTATCAATCATGTTCACACACAAATCACATAGTGACTAAGAAGTACGGACACGTGGCACGACATGGACATGTTGACACAGGCAATTTTAAAAGCTAATATGTTTTGTAATGAAGCATCATTCAAGTCGACTTTAGTTTCAAGGCTTGATTATAAAGACAGACTCTTCTTCAGTGGAAATGTAAAACTTGTGCATTGTATTAACATCATTTAGAGGTTTTCATCTTGGTAGTTTGTTGGGTTGGGTTTATTTTTGTGTTCTTGACCTTATATAATTTGATTCTAGACTATAGACTAGATTAGCTATTGGGCTCAACTTATAGGACCCATAGACTTGGTTATCTGGGCTTTGTACATCTGTGTGGTGTGCTTGTCAGTACACGAAAAATCATGTGTGTGTTTGAATGCTTGAGTACTGTTCGATTCAAGTAAGCTTCGCAGAAAGTAACGAATGTACTCGGAGTAACGAATGTACTCGGACTAACGAGTAGGTACTCGGGCAGCTACAAATTGGTATTCACCACACTGATCATGTAAACGTGTAAGGGCAGATGAGTGATTAACAACAGGTTGCATGTTGAATGGTCAGAAGGCCAATCTACTACATAGTAGACACAGGTCATGGAATAAGAATTCAAGAATACCCAATATCTTTTTTTCTCTGGCTCGCATAAGAGATACGTTGTATTGAGCATTAAATATAGATGCTCTTTTTTTAAGCTTTTACCGCTCCTAAACCTTATGAATTTTCTACCAGCCCACCATCATACGATAACTTCTTGTTTTGTTTCTATAACCGGATTCTGTGATGTTGATTTTTCCTTTTAACTACTTCATTAAAAACATGGTATGCTTTCATGAATGGTGTTCTCCTAATATAATTTGCTAGGAAGCACTGATACCTCAAATAGGTTGAAGTATCCATATCTGGTACTTATCCCTCAATAAAATATTAATAAAATAACCTTGATTACCATGGGTAGGAAGGACTCAGTTAGTATTGTTACACAGAAGAATGCACGTGTGGAAGAGAAATACGAAGGGCGCGGAGAGAGAGAATTTATGAGTTTTGAAGGCAACTCATCTGCTACTGTCATGAGTGCTTTCGAACTGGTTTTTCTATGTGGCCAGGTGGTGCATATTTTGTGATTTTTGGAGTCATTTCAACATGACTTCAGCTAAAAGAAAGAAAGAAAAGTCTGGTTGTTTTATTGACCCACTTCTTTAACTGTTAAAATTAAATAATAATTTGAAATTGTAATTATCATAACTATATAATAAAAACATTAAATAATTTTTTGTTATTGACGTATTCTTGTCGTATCCATATGCTAGTTTTCTAAATATTGACGCATCACCGTATCTGTGTCATATCATCCCCATTTCCTGTATCTGTTATCTGTGCTTCCTAGATAATTTGGGAAATGTTCTGTTTGTCAATTTAACCCTCTGCAATTTGTCTACTAGTTTGATACAATAGTCTATGTTTGTTTGTTTATTTATTTTTAATGTTAGATACTGATGTTATGCTTTTAATATTTGATGTATTAATTGTAAAAATAATTCATGTGTTGATTGTATTTCTTGGGACCATAGTTGTTTAACAGCTGGTTTACTTCCATAACAGTGCTTTTGCTGTAAATTGGATTGGTAGGAACGGAAGACAATGAGTTCATCTGAGGTTCAGGCTTTCGTGAACTCTTTGCGCTCCACTTTCTCATACTTGGAGGTTTGTCCTCTTCATTCTTTTACATTTTTTTAGACAGATACTTATCTTCTAACCAGCTTGAAGGCACAAATAGAAGGAACCTCACTCATTTGTGAACTTGACATCACTCATTTATGAATTCTTCTATTATTATTCATAAATAGGAGTTTTATGTATGCTTTTCTTATTAGAACTCGTAACCAAAATTGACAAATACTTCAGGCGCTTCATATCCCTACTATAGCTGTTATTGAAGGTGCAGCATTGGGTGGCGGATTGGAAATGGCTCTATCTTGTGATCTTCGGATTTGTGGTAATTCTGTATTTGATGCTTCAAAGTTTATTTGATTCTCTATGAATGTTTCATTTTTTCTTTTAACAAGCTTTTCAGAAGTTGATGGTTTCACTATAAATTACTCAGGAGAAGATGCTGTGTTGGGCTTGCCTGAAACGGGCCTTGCTATAATACCTGGGTATGTCTATAATCTCAATTAAAATTTTGTAATCTTTGTTATGTTGATTTTTTGATTGGGAACTACCTCAATCTTGCTGGTTATGGATTATGCAATTCAGTTTTAACTTACCTTAGATCTTTTATATGTTGACTGTTGGCATGCCTATAATTGATGGAGAATTGTAGCATCATACCAGCTCAATATTGCATGTTAGTAGGATGTTGCAGCTCATGTATTTATTTATTTTTTTGAACACTACTTATATCCAACCTTCTTTAGCATGAATAATAAGTTTCCAGCAAAGTATTCATGCTTGATCAGATGACCTTATTATGGAATTTCAACCTTCTGCAGGGCAGGTGGGACCCAACGGCTTCCTAGGTTGGTTGGAATATCGGTGGCGAAAGAACTTATATTTTGTGGTCGGAAAGTTGGTGGCAGAGATGCAGTTTCAATGGGTATGTTTGTTTGGGAGCTACTCCAATTTTAACTTTTTTTAGTCATCACTGAGCAACAAAGGTGCATTGATGCAGGCCTTGTCAATCACTGTGTTCCTGCTGGTGAAGCTCATTTAAAGGCACTTGAAATTGCTCGGAATATCAATCAGAAGGTACAAGTCTGTATGTCTCCAGAATCTTCTAGATACAACTGGGGTGCCATGTGCGATGCATGTGAGCCTTACATCATACAGTTTTTCCCTTTAGGGTTATTTGCAGTTATGTTGATTCTTAAAATTTCCTGGCATCAGCAGTTATCTTTTACCTGTCAGACTTTGCGAAGTGGCAGTATACATTGCATCCCTTGTAAGACCAAAACTGCTCCCATGTCAAAGTCAATATCAGACAAACCCTGTGTTGGCTTGGTAAGATGAGATTGGATGAGTATATCATGTCTCGAATAATGGTATGGGTTATAATGGTCTCAAAATAAAAAGATAAATACTGTATTTACAGGACCTTTTTGTGATTTTATTTGAGTCCCTCACATAGGATGGTTTTTTGTCTTGCAAGGAGTGTCCTCACAATGTGCTATAATGATGATTCACAAGGTTGTTGCATTCTTTAGTGTGTATCGAAGTGGTTATTATTTATGTGTATTTGTGAAGAAGCATTGATTGGAATCTAGAAGTACGGACACGGACATAGATGCAGACACGGGACATGACGATTTCAAAAAATTGGAGACACGGACAAGGCAATAAAATATATTTTCATATATTTTTATTTGCCATCCAGATTAATATTACATCCACAAACAATCAATATTAACAAAAACTAATTCTAACTTATTTATTTGTTTATTTATTTATTTTTGTAAAAGCACTTTTAAATTAGCATTTACAGTTTATATCATTTTTTAGGATGATCTATTAAGTATTTAAATCTAAGAAAAAAATAATAAATATTCAACTTTCAGCATTTATCAAAAGCAGTAAATAAAATGGGGGAAAAAGACAATTTGGCATGTCCCTAATGTGTCCTCGAAGTGTTCCCTGAAAATAAATTAATTAAATAAGGATACACGCCATGTAGTGTGTCCCATACGTGTCCGACACGGATACGACACTTGTTTTGAAGTGTCGGTGCTTCATAGATTGGAATTCTTGTTCGTTCAAGAAGTCTTCCGTGTGATGCAGGAGTCTTTACTTACCAGAACCATCCATTTCTGGGATTAAGATATGGATTCACAACATAAACCTTAACAAAAGTGCTAGTCATTTTTTTTAATGATAGTTGGAAGTTAGACTTGGACTTCACATACATGTGTGGTTATACTTACGAAATCAGATTTTCTTTGTCAATCTGTGGTCCATTGCAAATATACAATAGTAGAATATGTCAAGTGTATATTTTATATATTGTATTATACATGATAATCGAAACTTTTTGATAAATTCTTCGAGAATTCTTAGGTGCCTTTTGGCAATATTTACAGTTAATTGTTTTAGTTTATAGAAAACACTAAACATGTTTATGTTTGTTTTGGATAAAAATAGAAACAAAAAATATATTTGGTACTCAAGAATTTTAAAATTTTGTTTTGAAAACAAGTGAAAGATGTGTTCGTTGACGGTTGGAGATGGTGGCCGAAGGTCGTTGCCGGCCGCGTAAGGTGGTGGCCGAAGGTGGTTGCCACTAGTGGGAGGTGGTTGGCAGTGTGGTGGTCGGAATGGGTGGGAGAAAGAGGAAGAAATGGGGGAGAAGAAAAGAAAAGTAAAACTAAACTTTTTCGTATTTACAATTTTTTTACAATTCTTTGGAAACGGAAACAGAAACCAAATGAGTTTCTGTTTACAGTTTTCAAAATTTTGTAAATATAAACAGAAAATTGTAAATATAGCATTACCAAAGAGGCCCTTAGTGTTCTACTCAAAATTAGTAGTCTCTGAGCAATGGTCAGTTTTGGTTCAGGGCTTAGTCAAGTTTGACTAGGCTTTGTTTGAGGTTTGAGGCTCAATCACGCTTGAGTGTAAGTTCAATAGGTTTGACTAGAAATTTGATTATATGGGTTTCTGCCTTAGCTTTGATTTAGAAAGAGAGGGAATTGCCTAAGACATGAAAGGTTGTGATGCAGCACCGGTACAGGAGACGGAGAAAAGGAAAAGAACACAATACCAATCAATATATCAGTTAATCAATATTCATGTAAACTCTGCAAAACTCTTACATAAAAGTCATATGTATAGGTAAATCAAACTAATCTTATGAGGAAACAAATACAAACTAAGAAATAAATCCTAAACTTTCAAAAGAAAAAAAGAAAAAAAAAAAAACTCCCAATTAGTACACATTAATGTGTGTTTGGGTGGAGAAAGATTGAGTACACACCTAACCTTTGGCATAATGCGCAAAGTTTCAACTTCCTAAATAAATTAAACTCCTAAATAAATAAAATTCCAAATCTTCAATATTTTCTTATTCAATTTGTTTGCTTTCCCCATCAGGTGGTTGGTCGATCAACCTTTATATACGCTTAAAATTTCTTATTTTCGCAAAATAAACCTACTATTTTGTGTTCTATTTAAAACAATACATTTTATTTCTTCTATTGGCCCCTTTCTAGTAATTTAACAAATGCATCCATCATATTCGAGATTCTGAATGTATCCTATTTCTATCTAGTCCTGAAAAACTAATTCAATAATTTTCTAATACATATAACACATCCAATGCATATTGGATTGTGTCTGACATGTATTGGTTTCTGATACATATCCAATTCAAACATGGCATCAGTGGTTCATAACTCTCAATCTTTGACTCAGGCATAGGTTATTACACCTCACAAGATCAATTCAATCCTCTGATGATTAATATTATTCGTGTCACTGTGCGGTGTATATATTAAAATAAAAGAAGGTTTTTGGCTGTTGTAAAATCAAGTACTGGCCAAATTCTCCTTTTTATGTACTAATGATCAACTGTAAGTGGATTTCAGCTAGTAATAATGGATTATAACCCCCCCAAAAGGGAAGATATGTTAAATTGACTTCTTTGGGGAAAAATACTTGTTCTTACACTTGCATGCTCCACATTGATAAGAACACATCATGTTCTTCTCAGGGTCCGTTGGCATTAAGGATGGCAAAGCGAGCTATTAATGAGGGGCTCGAGGTAGATATGGCATCAGCTTTGGCATTGGAAGAAGAGTGCTACGAACAGCTTTTGAACACAAAAGATCGCTTAGAAGGCTTGGAAGCATTTGCTGAGAAGCGAACTCCTAAATATACAGGTGAATGAAAAAGAACATAACCTAATAACTTGCTTCTAGTGCTTTTGGTCCCTTGTGCCTAATATTATCTATTATCATTTATCATTTGAACTTGAGAGGACCCAAATGCTGGCAGGCTCTAATTTATAAGTTAACGAGTTAACAATTTTTATATCTTTCAATCATGTGGTGAGGATATTTGGGATTTTGGACATGTACCATGATGTATCATTTGAGAAAGGCTACTTTATATTAGTAAAAGAGCTTCTTTATAGACCTTTCACATTAATGGAGGATTCATTTAGGGGATATATAAATATTGCTAACCAACTCATACTAGATTGTTAGTTTTTAAAGGTTACTTGCATTTTAGCTCTACTGTTTGGAACTGAAAGAGAATAAAACAATCTGTATTGTCTGATATTATAGTATTAAGAAAAATAAGATAGCTGCAGCCATATACATTCTATTTTATTAAGGATTAGTACAGCCTAATCGTTGTTGCGATTTGGTTCTCTTTCTCTCTCTCTCTCTCTCCAATTCTGTGCTACTAATAAATGTTTGGTGTTTTTAATTTTTTGAGTTGTATTTTATATCTAATGCCCCAATTTTATTATCACATGTATTTCATTACCTTGTTATCTCATACACTTCGAGCTTCACACAATTAGCAATTTTACCCCTAAATAACATATCATTTTAATTGATGAATGTTCTTAATATATTTTAGTAGTTCTTATTTTGTTTATATGTAATTCAAGTGGTTGCTTCATCTCTTTTTACTTGCTGAAATTGTGGAGCCGGTTTTGGGGGGGGGGTTGGTTTGAATTGGACAAACCCTTAAAAACTTTTATCAACTTAAATTACCAATGTTGTTTATTTAGCCAACATCAATACTTGATTCTATCAATCATGTTTACACACAAATCACATAGTGACTAAGAAGTACGGACACGTGACACGACAAGGACATGCTGACACAAGCAATTTTAAAAGCTAATATGTTTTGTAATGAAGCATCATGCAAGTCGACTTTAGTTTCATGGCTTGATTGTAAAGACAGACTCTTCTTCAGTGGAAATGTAAAACTTGTGCTTTGTATAAACATCATTTAGAGGTTTTCATCTTGGTAGTTTGTTGGGTTGGGTTTATTTTTGTGTTCTTGACCTTATATAATTTGATTTTAGACTATAGACTAGATTAGCTATTGGGCTCAACTTATAGGACCCATAGACTTGGTTATCTGGGCTTTGTACATCTGTGTGGTGTGCTTGTCAGTACACGAAAAATCATGTGTGTGTTTGAATGCTTGAGTACTGTTCGAACGAGAACATTGTAAAGTTTCATTGGTTTGGTCCACAACGTTGATTGTTTGAACACATTAGATGCTTGTTCAAACATTGAGCCAACTGGAATTGATTTTATTGTAATGAAGTACCATTTCTGTTTGAACGCAGATCATGTTCATTTGATTAGCGGCCCTTCTATTTTGTAATACACAGATTTCTATTTTACAATAGAAGCTTCTTCGTTTGAACAGTGCTTACTGTTCGAACGCATGTTACTTGATACATCTTGTTTTGCATGTTTGGAGCTGATTTCTTCAGAAATTTTAACTCCTTGGTCACTTAGGATTTCTCATTACTATATATTGAGATATATACATCTGTGTTTAGGTTACACTCGAGAAATAGTTTTCCTAAGAGAGCCCTGATATAGTCTATCTTCACTTCTTTCATAGGTTTGAGACACCGTTTGCATAGGTTGGATTGATCTTTCTGGTTCTAAACCTTGTGAGTGAAGAGTGTTGAATTGATTCCTTTGGTAGCTTTGCAATCATCTGGATTTAGTGCATGTTCATTGATCGAGCTTGTGGACTTGGAAGATCGTGTTTGTGCGGCTTGCATGGTTGGCGAAGATTTGAAGGTACAAGTGAGTCTTGGAGATGTGGGTAGCAGATTGAACTACGGGAACTGCTTTGGGTGTTGAGTGGGTAGGATATGTGCATCTGCCATGGCTGTCATAAATGATGTAGATAGGATATGTGCATCAATTGATCTTGGTAAGCATTATACTTCATTCTTTTACCAGTGAAGTTTGCATCCAAGGTTTTTTTCCCTTGGGTTTGCGGTTTTTCCATGCAAACTCTGGATTTTCTCGTGTGGTTGATTATAAATCATGTGATTATTTAGTGTTGGATAATTAATTGGACTATCTGTTTAATCACCTGAATTAAAAGAATGTTTCCAGTATGTTTCACTGAAAAATATCAGAGGCTATTTTTTTGCACTTTGACTCGAAAACACTGTTTTTCAAACATGTTTTTTTGCTTCAGTGCAACTGAATGATGAACACGTGTGCGCCCCCCAATTGTCCAAAACTTGTCCAGGTCTAAAAAAATAAAAAAATAATAGGGCACGTTTTAGGCGTATCTAACATAGACACACCATTTTCTTAGAAGTGTTTATGCTTCTTAGCATATATATGAAGGTGACATGATTTAATGTGAAAACCTTGAGAAAAACTCTCTCGAAGGAAAAAACAACGGACACATCCAACCCAATAAAATCTACTGTGGAATCAAAAGTTATGAGACTCTCAATGAAATGAATTACAACCCTTTACTCGGTTTTGAGTCTCCTGTAATTGTGAAGCTCCTCACTTTTTCTCCACTGCATGTGGTTCTGATCCTCTCAGATGCTTTTGATTCAACAGTAATCCACATAGCTTATTGCTCCTATCTCCGTTCAACACAGCTCCATCACCAATGGCCAATGGTTGAGTATGTCATGCCAAAGTGTGGATTTTATGAAAAACAACTCTATCTAGAACATAATAAAGTGTAAAAGCTTGTGTGCTCTTGTTCCTAGATTGAAAGAAACATGGGTTTCTAGCATTATGCTTTTTTGAAGCTGAATAGGGTTGCTCTCTAACTCAAAAGGCTGCTAGGGTCATTTATGATGGTTTATATGAGTTTTGGAGAATAGAAACATGAACTAGGTAAAGTTCTGCGTGTGGAGCTTGTAGTATCTCTGCAGGCTATAGGACATTTAAGCAGGCTTTCAAGAGCTCGTTCAGGTGGAGCCCTCAAGACCACTGCAGGCCATCCCTCAGTCAGGCAGCCCTTCAAGCACACGTTACAAAATATTTACCGTTTTGCATACAGTGCGCTCAAACGAATTTCATGTGTGCTCAAGCGGTTTTTTTTATATATATATATATTTTGAAAACCAAATTTTCATAAATCTGAAACAAGAAATTTGAACTTTAAACTAGGTCAATCTTGTGTTTTTTCAAAATCGTGATGCAAGTGCTCTACCTTCAAGTGTAATGGGACGAAATCTTACACAAACCACGAATCAAATCTCAAATAGCTCTTCACAATTCTTAACCTGACCTAGCTACCCTTACAACCATGCACAAATTGCAATACATTGACCCAACAGTTTTGTCTCACAGAAATTGCTAACTTAACCTAGATCCTATTACACTTGCAAGATGCACTTGTCTATCCTTTCGCAGTATTTAAATTTATTGGCTGTTGTCTGAAAATATAGAAAGGAGTTTTTCTTTGTATATGACTATATGTTTTGTGTTTTGGTCCTTTCTTGTTTAGTGTCTCATCTCTAATACAACCAGTCCCCAAACCTGAAGAAAGTAGGGCTACTACAGGTGGACAACCATTAAAAAAGACAATCATAGCATATGAACATCTAGAAGTTGGAATTTAGGCTTTTCAAGTTGAGTTGGTCACAAATAGAGCCATTGATTTGGTTTGCTTATCATCAGCAAGGGTTTATTACTTATTTCAAATCTTGGAAAGACAAAATTGGTGATGTATTAGATGGCCATGCATAGATGCAATGCAAGAATGTTAAGAAGCACGGATAAGGACACGTGACACAACACGGACATGCAGATACATAAATTTTCAAATAATGCAGGGCACGACAATTTGGGGACACATTCAAAACATATATTTTTTTTATATTAAATATTTAATTTTATCAAATTTATCAACCTCAGGCATGCTATTTTAGTAAAAAAATTAAAAATTTTATTTATTTATTTTTCTGAAACAAATGGTACTTAGCGTGTCCTTAGAGAGTCCTCAGTGTGTCCCTAGCGACGTGTCCCTAGCATTTCTCAACGTGTCTGAAGTGTTCCAGCATGTTCAACTCTTTCCAGCTTGTCCGACACATGACCGAAGTGTGTTCGTGTCCGACATGTGTCGAACACTTGTACGTGACCTCCAGATAGGTGTCCATACTTCATAGCAAGTATGCATTATGAATAAGTTTGAAGTAAAAAGTGATGATGGGCCACAAATGCACCTTCAAATAATTTAAGATTAGGTATGTGAAGGTTAAAGCACGAAAATACATGCCAAAGGGAAAGAAGCAGGCACTAGTTTGATATTGTAATTTGTAAGCTCTTAAAATCTTGTTTATCAATTTATCTTAGTGAAAAGCTGTAATTTACACACGGTAATGCAGAATGTAACAACCTCCTTTTTTGTCAATACTTAGCAAATAATCTCTCTTTTACAGTAGCTGGTAGTGACAACTTGAATTTGATATTGGCATTGAAAGAAAAAGTTCATATGATTTTATAATGTAAACATGAATGAAGAAGAAAAATCCATTCTATCCAAATGTAAACTAATGCTTGTTTAATAATTCAAAACTAGACAATTAAAATAATAAAATATATATCCTGACTTGTAAAGGCATCCGCTAATGAGCTTATTACCTGGTTCATATTTTGAAACGTAATTAGTTCTATTCAGTGCCTCATACAAGGGTGGAAAGAGAAAAGACAAGGGTCCTCGAATAGGTTAATTTTCTTTAAAAATTTAGTAAACCAGTTTAGTAGATTTTTAACCGTTGGTATCTAAGAAGTACGGACATCTCTAAGAAGGTGATGTGTCTGTGTCGTACACCAACACTCTTCAGACACTTGTCCAATACTCTTTTTTATGTGTTCGTCATTAAAAAAAAAAAATCTTAATTTTGGATACATGTCCGACACTCAAATTTTGCAATGTGTTTGTCACTTGCCCATGTGTCTATCATTAAAAAATAAATATAAGACTAACACCTTTTAGACATTTGCTAACAAATGATTTTTGAAGTTTGAGAATTTGACATAAATATATCTTAATACTCTTTATAATTATTAAGAATAATCCTATACAAGTTTCACTTAAAATTAAATGAAATGACATGCTTGGAACCAAATATGTGGTTTTGGGTGCAAGAAAATGGTCCAAGGGTGTTCAACATTGGCTCTGAAGTGAGGAAAAACGGGCGACGGAGGGCGATGAAGGGATAAAGTTGGATGACAGAACAATTGCTGGCCTCCCACCCTTCTACGACCTTCCTAATAATGAAACAGAGGTCCCTGCCAAAAATGAGCCCA